TCGAAGGGCGCGCCGGGCCAGAGTGCACCGACAGCGCAGAGATGACCATACAGAACAGGACGATCAGGCACAACACGGAGACTGGCGCGGTGGAGTACGTTGCAGACCTACGCAATGCTGAATTGATCGTTCAAGTGCTAGGACGAGAGAAGGCGAAGACCGCGACGACGCCAGCCAAGAAAGCGACGGCAACTGTCGCGTCGGCGGCGCTGCCTCTGCCAAAAGTGGATGATGAGCGAAAGAGGTTGTTACATATACATATACATATATGTATAGTCATGGTCGCGCTTCATCTTGCGCAACATATTGCTGAGGTGCGCGAATGCGTCAAGTCGTCCGTGTCGAAAGATGATCTGGCCGACCGAAGCTGATTTCGCAGCCCTGAAGCGTCCAGGTCGCCACCTGGTGGGTAGGCACCAGATTGTCTTGCGCGTCGAGCCATCGGGATTACACATGGACACGAGCATCTACTCAGTCTGAAACTACGCAGATCGTCCTGCAACGCGACAGATCACCACAGGCGCAGCTGTATTGATGGGCAACCACTGTATGATGGCATCATCAGGGCTCCAGAGCACCATCGCTCTCCTGAGCGGCGAGGGCGAGTCTTACGGCATGGCCAAAGTTGCGTCTATTAGATTGCAACTACAGGCGCTGCCAGCCGACTGGGGCGCTGCTAGCCGACTGCACGCGGCGCGTGTTTTGGCGAGGCCGGGGGCAGCTTCGGCACGTGCAGACTCGCTACTTGTGGGTCCAGGAAAGGGTTGCGAGGAGCGAGATCACAGTTGGACAGGTCGGAACCCGCAACAGCATCGCTGACATGTGCACAGATTTTGTCGATGGTGATCCCTTGAAAAACTGTCATGAAGATCTCAGGCCATCGTTTTCTGAGTGGTATGGCGGCGACAGCAAAGCACCTAGTGAATGTGCATGTAGAGTATTAGCGTACGCGGTTCAGGTCAGCAGAACCCCCGCGAGGAGGAGCGTTCGATCATCCATTTTGTATAGCGCTGTGAATCGCATGTGTTTTGTTCTCTTAGCCCGAAGTGTGTCTGCGGATTCGCACGCGCGCGTGCCATAGCCATCTGCGACTGATCAGGCATAGCATAAAAGTTCCCATGAGCGCGGGCTGGGCGTTTTGCCCGCGGCCCATCGCTTATGACTTTGAAGCTGGACATTCCAACATATACACAGGCTGATGGCGGGTAATGTTAAAGCTGTGGCTCTCGCTTCAGCGCCCCGCGTAGCATTCGTCTCAAGCGCTTTCAGTTTTCAATTGTGGCTCTCGCCATGCCGCCGCGCATATTCGTGTCATGAGCTTCCCAAGCTGGTGCTCTCAGCCGAGGCATCCTCGACAAATGAGGAGTGGACTCGGGACGGGAAGGTGTTCGCACGTATTGCAGCCTCGTTGGTGCATCACGAGACGAGTCTGCCTAGTGCCCCTCGGCCGAGCTCACCTTGTACCGTGGTAGAGAAACAAACTGGGGCTCCCGCCGTGGGGGATATCTTCCATAAGACGCTTCCCAGACGCGTACGGCAGGTCGCAGTCGCACACGTCCGAGCTTCCAGTCTCGAGATGTGTTCTGCTCGCTGCAGTTTGGCAGCGGCCCGACGCCGATCCGGCGCCGCCGCCCTCCCCTTCTGAATCCAGGTCGCTGAGCCCCTTCGTGGCTGAGGCCCGACGTGGCCAGAACAACCCCTTTGTTCCCTAGCTTCGCGCTCCTCATGGCAGCGCGATGGCCTGAGATTGTTCTGCCTTCCTCCCTCCTGGAGGACCCTGGGAGCTCGATGGCTGGGAATATGTGTTTTCGCCTGTTCCTCCTCTTTCTCTTCTCCCCCTCTTTCGGTTTGACCCTACCCGTGAGGGTTAACGGTGCGAGTGCCGTTGGCAAGGCCCTGTAGGCGTACGAACGCGCGTTTTTTTATTTGACGGTCGTGTGGGACAGTTTTGCGGGTGTCTCCAAGGAAGTTTGAGGTCGTTGAGAGCGTGTTTCTGTATCGTTTTGGGCATAATGGGCAATATAGCCCCCCCAGCCCCCCCCCCCAGGTATAATTTAACGCCCCTCCCCCCCCCAGTGCGCTCCGGGCTTGCCGCCGTGCGCATCGGGATCCGCATCGGCGTCCGCATAGGAATCCGCAAAGGAGCCTCGTCCGCGTTGGAAATCTCACGGGGATCCGCATAGACATGCGCAGGCGCATCTGCATAGGTATCCGCACACCGCGTAAGGAGCCGCATGGGGATTCGCATAGGGATCCGCATGGCACTGCGCATGGGCATCCGCACATGGATCCGCATCGGGATCCGCATAAGCATCCGCATAGGGATCCGCGCATGGATCCACATAGGAATCCGCAGGATCCGCATAGGGATCCGAAATTGTGGTGTTGTGCTCCTGGCAAAAAACTCATTATCTTCCTTCTGCTCCTCTTCCCCTCCTCCTCTTTCTCCTCCTTCTCCTCCTCCTCCTCCTTCTTCTCCTTTTGCTCCCCCTCGGAGGAGGCGGAAAGGAGATGGGGGTGGCGGAGGAGGGAGGAGAGAAGAACGTCGCATTATATTATCAGCACTTCCCTGGCGTGGCGTTCAGTTGTCCGCGGCAGATCCTCACCTACATGCTCGTTCTACCTGTCCTGTGCACGCAGGCAATGTGGTGTACACCAGCGCTGCGTGCACGCGGATGCTGTGGTGTAGACAGGCGTTGTGGTGTGCACAGGCGTTGCGGTGCACGCAAGCATTTTGGTGTACACAGGCGCAGTGCTGCACATGGTTGCTGCGGTTTTGCATATTCGCTGTGGTGTACACCGGCGCTGTAGTGAACGCGAGCACTGGTGGTATACACAGGCGCTGCGTCACACGCGGCTGTTGCGGTGTACGCAGGCGCTGCGGTGTACATGCGCGCTGTGGTGCACGCGAGCATGGTGGTGTCCGCAGGCGATGTGGGGCAGGTCGCCACCTACATGCTGCTCGCGTCGTCGTCGTCGTCGCTCGTCGCTCGTAGCTCATCGTCGTGCGCGCGGGCGCGGCTGTGGTGCCGGAGCCACACGGCGGGGGCAGGGGGGGCGTTACATAATACCCCCCCCCTCGCCCCCCCCCCCCCATAATGCCCATGATCGCCAAAAATAACGAAACGCGCTCCGACGCATGCACGAGATGTGTGCCCTTTCCTTGCTGTTCCACTTCCTCCGTTCTGTGTTTGACGTCGGCCTGACGTAGCGTGCGGTTTCTGTCCCTGTTGGTGTTGTGTTGCGTTTTTGCTTCTGGGTCGCTTCTTCGGCCCGGGCGGCACAGCGCTGCGTATTGCAGCATCGGCCTTCACCCTTCTTGACTTCGGTTGCGGATCAGCTTCGCGATCTGTTTTTCAGTTGCGGATCAGCTTCGCGATGTTCGTTCATTCGGCTCGTGACGCGAACGGCACGCGCGTGAGCGAATTGGCCCAGCATCGAAACGTCTAGATGCGGCTGCGAAAACATATCTCTGCCCCTCTGCCCCTCCGCCTCTTCTGCCCCCCTCCCCCGTCATCCCTGTGGGAAAACACACACACACAAACACTGTGGGAAAAAAAACACACAGTGGAAAAAAAAAACAAAAAAAACACGTGTATGTGTGAGTGTGTGTGAGTGAGTGTGAGTGAGTGAGTGTGAGTGAGTGTGTGAGTGAGTGTGTGAGTGTGTGTGTCTGTGTGTCTGTGTCTTCTGTGTGTCTTCTGTGTGTCTTCTGTGTGTCTTCTGTGTGCGTCTTCTGTGTGCGTCTTCTGTGTGTGTGTGTCTTCAGTGTGTGTCTTCTGTGTGTGTCTTCTGTGTGTGTCTTCTGTGTGTGTCTTCTGTGTGTGTCTTCTGTGTGTGTCTTCTGTGTGTGTCTTCTGTGTGTGTCTTCTCTGTGTGTCTTCTGTGTGTGTCTTCTGTGTGTGTTTTCTGTGTGTGTCTTCTCTTCTGTGTGTGTCTTCTGTGTGTGTCCTCTGTGTGTGTCTTCTGTGTGTGTCTTCTGTGTGTGTGTGTCTTCTGTGTGGGTCTTCGGTGTGTGTCTTCTGTGTGGGTCTTCGGTGTGTGTCATCTGTGTGTGTCTTCTGTGTGTGTCTTCTGTGTGTGTCTTCTGTGTGTGTCTTCTGTGTGTGTCTTCTGTGTGTGTCTTCTGTGTGTGTCTTCTGTGTGTGTGTCTTCTGTGTGTGTGTCTTCTGTGTGTGTCTTCTGTGTGTGTCTTCTGTGTGTGTCTTCTATGTGTGTCTTCTCTGTGTGTCCTCTGTGTGTGTCTTCTGTGTGTGTCTTCTCTGTGCGTCTTCTCTGTGTGTCTTCTGTATGTGTCTTATGTGTGTGTCTTCTCTGTGTGTCTTCTCTGTGTGTCTTCTCTGTGTGTCTTCTCTGTGTGTCTTCTCTGTGTGGCTTCTCTGTGTGGCTTCTCTGTGTGGCTTCTCTGTGTGTCTTTTGCGTGTGGCTTCTCTGTGTGTCTTCTCTGTGTGTCTTCTCTGTGTGTCTTCTCTGTGTGTTATGTGTGTCTTCTCTGTGTGTCTTCTGTGTGTCTTCTGTGTGTCTTTTGTGTGTCTTCTGTGTGTCTTCTGTGTGTCTTCTGTGTGTCTTCTGTGTGTTTTCTGTGTGTCTTCTGTGTGTCTTCTGTGCGTCTTCTCTGTGTGTCTTCTGTGCGTCTTCTGTGTGTCTTCTGTGTGTGTTCTGTGTGTGTTCTGTGTGTGTTCTGTGTGTGTGTGTGTTCTGTGTATGTGTTCTGTGTGTGTTCTGTGTGTGTTCTGTGTGTGTTCCGTGTGTGTGTGTGTGTTCTCTGTGTGTGTGTTTGTGTTTGTGTGTGGTGTTTGTGGGTGGTGTTTGTGTGTGGTGTTTGTGTTTGCGTTTGTGTTTGTGTTTGTGTTTGTGTTTGTGTTTGTGTTTGTGTGTGTGCGTGTGCGTGTGTGTGTGTGTGTTTGTGCGTGTGTGTGTGTGTGTTTCCCCACGTGTGTGTTTTTTCCCCCACAGATTGCTTGCCCTCCGCCTATCCCCCCCCGCTGCCTCTGCCGGAGGTGGCTCGGAGGCAAGAGCTCGCGCTTCTTGGAGCGGGCCCGGCTCGCGCCGCCTGCCGCTCGCGCGTGTCTTGGCAGGGGCCCCGAGGTTGTCGCACCTCGGCCGGCAGTGCGGCTTCGAGTGCACGGCCTGCGCGCGCGCGAGATGTTTTGCCCAGTCTGCGAGCGTGCAGTGCACATCTGATGTGTTCCCACGCGCGCGCACGCGCCGAGGCCTGGACCTGGCACGCCAGGAGCATGTGTCTCCGAACGCCTGCGCGAATGCTGAGCCTCACAAGTGCCCCCGCATGTGCTTCGTGGCGCGATGAGGGGATCTCGCGGGGGTGCATGGATTCGCGGGAGGAAGAACCACGCAGACCCGACAACTGGGCGTTTACCAGACGGCCCTGGGCGTTTACTAGGCAGCCTTGCCCTGTTCGGTTCCTTCTGTTATGATGTTCCAACCTACTTTAGCCTTGATCACCAAAAAGAATTTCGTGCACCAAGGAAGTACCGAAACCTGAAGGTTTTCACGTGTCGGGCCCTGGGAGGCGATACTCGTTAGACACTGTTTCGATGCTTTCCTGGGTGCTCGAATTCTTGTTTGGGATATGGCCCTGAAGTACGATGGGAACAGCATAGTCGTTCTGTGGGTGCATTGGGCTGTCCTCCGCGGGGCCCGGATCGCACGCGGGGACGGGCTCGGTGGGAGCCGAGGGGGGTGTCGGAGCGGGCCGTCGGGCGGGGTGGCAGGGCGGGGATGCTCGTTACGCAGAAAGGCGTGTGTACGGCCTCCTCCTCCTCCTCCTCCAGCCTCCTCCTCCTCCTCCTCCTCCTCCTCCTCCTCCTCCAGCCTCCTCTGGGCATCTAAGAACCCCAAGCCGGCAGCGGCCGCGGTTGGGCAAACGGCTGCTGGTCTCAAGTGGATAACGTCCGCGGCGGCGCCGGCATCGAACCTCCAGTTCAGAATGGACAGGAGCTGCTGTTGGTCTTCGTGCCCAGCGTTTCCGTTACCAATTTCGGCCCCTTTGAGCGGAAGCGGTGGATATTCCTTCCGTCGCCCCCAGAGGACCTCGGGTTATTTTGCATCTTCGGGGGACCTTTCCTGTTCTGTATATGGGCGTCTGTTCTTGTACTCCGACGCGGGTTCGATGCGGATTCGACGTGGATTCGACACGGATTCGACACGGATTCGACACGGATTCGACACGGATTCGACGTGGATCGCGGCGCGACGGGACAGACAAGGGGCCCCGAAGATGCAACACAATTCGGGGCATCGAGGATCGAAGGTCTTGGGATCTGCAGCTGTTTACTTTGCTGTTCGACGTTTTAGAGCCTCCTCCGGGCCTTCCAGAGGCTGCTCGTCGTCATGGCTCGATGGCCGTGGACATGCTGGCCAGAACGGATCCTGGGACAGCCTCGGGGACCGACTGGTTGTGGAGGAGCTCCAGCGTCACGGAAAAGTTGTGCCTGTCGCTCACAGTCGACCCGCATCCTAAGGATGGGCATCCGTCCCCAGGGTACCCTTGCATCCGTGCCCCTTCGGCCCATCCTTAGCGACGTTCGCTGGCCAATCTCGTTCGAACCACGTCAATGTGGGCTTCCAAGGCCCGTTGCATCCTTACCGCGCATCCTCATGATACGGGTTGACTGTATATCGGGCGGGTGCCCTTTTGGGCTCCTGCTGGCTCCAAAAGGGTCCCTGAAGAGCTCCTTCAGGGTCCTTTTCTTCACCCCCCATGTAGGTCACCCCCCAGTACCACCCGCCCGATTATGTTTTGTTTCGGCCTCTGGAGGCCCGTATCCAGCCCCAAGACCATTCAACAATTGCCGATCATGAAAAAAAGTCCCCCAGGGATGGGGTCGAGAGCTCCAGGGGGCTAATGGCAGGAGAAACTTGTGACGTCGAAGGTACTGGCCCCCATTGCATTACCATGCTACAGTCGGCCCGGATTAGTAGGTCGACCCTGCCAGCTCAAGGGTACCCTTGTGTCCTGTGCCTCGCGACACATGCCTTCTTACACTCCTATGGCGGTGTGGCCTTGGGAAGGGTCTTGTGTCCTCTCGCGCGTCCTGCCCAATGAAGTCCGACTGTATTGGATGTTCAGCATCGTGGCAGTCACTGGTTCGTGGGCATCACACCGCGCCGGTGCCCGAACCGATGGAGTCCACTGAGATTTGGTGACCTTTCACATCCAGCTGAGCATCCAGTCGAGTACAGTCAGACAGGATGACATATCGGCGCGCGGACCTCAAACAGTTGAAGCAGGGGGAGGCATGTTGCAGCAACTCGAAGCAAGTAAAAAACGAGAGGCAGCAGGTATAAGCGTGTGGAAGCAGATTGCGCACATGAGGAGCTCCAGACAGGGCCTTGCCTTTGAGGATCGAGCGAAGGAGTGGACATCTCTTCCCCGGCGGAAGGCCAGTGGAAGCCGGCGGAAGCAACAGTTCACCCTCCAAGAGATGGCAATGTTGTTTGACTCAGGGTTTTTGGAGGGAGCCGCATGGAAGCAAGCGTGACGTGTCGAGGCAGCTTGGCGCAGGTGGCAGCAGACAGAAGCAGCAGCAGGGTCCGGGGACGGTCAGTGGCACATCCGTCGGCGGTCGGGGCACAGCACCCGGGGCCCTGGGGCAGTCGGCTACAACAGGCAGGGCGCAGCAGCCGCCACAGGCAGGATCACGAGTGAGGCCCGATGGCCGGGAAATGGGAGAAGGGGGATTCGATTCGGGCAAGCCGATCGCCGTCACGCTTCAGCCGTAGGACGCACACCGGACCTGCCTGGGCCCCGCACAGGCAAAACAAATTATGAAGAGAATCGCACGCCTCGGAGTCTTCGACCGATCGCCCTCCCGCCTGATGATAAACCTCCCCCTCCCCACACACCAGCTCGGGATGGGCTTGCTGAGCATGCCGTGCGCATTGCGGGCGTTGCCGCGGCTCGCTGCTCATGGGCGGCCCCTCGAAGGACTCCTCGGGCCTGCTCGTCTGTCAGTCTGAAGTCTGCCCAGGCCTCGTTGATAGGCCCAGGCATTCTGAAACATGGGTACTCTGCGTAGTCTTTGCCCCTCCTTTGGCCTTTGAACCTTTGGTTCAAGGCTGCATCTTGCTGGTCGAGGCACCGCTGCTCGCTGATCGAAATGTGTCTGGCATGCTGCAAACTGCATACAGTCATCTGGGACTGCTCATCGTTGAGTGTCTGATGAGACGCGTGCGAGTGTGATAGTGCACTGGACAGGCTAAGCACGTGCCATCCTCTGCTACAGGTCGTGCAATGCTCCGTAGGCCGTGCTTGACAATTCTATGACAGACGAGCGCGCGTGGCGTGCTGAAGCTGCTGCGCATTCATGGCACTGGAACGGGCGCTCAACTTGCGGCACAGGGCATGGCTGGGGATTGAGGTCACGGTGGCTCACTGTACTTTCGCTAGCTTTCTGCAGGACGCCTTTCCACGCCGTTGGCCGCCCCCCGCAGAAATCATCCCATGCTTTCATGTCCTCTACGGGTTTTGCTGCTGATGCGCGCTGTAGCCAAGCGAGGTCTGTCATGGGAAGGGCTGCCCGAGAGTGTTTGTGCCCAGCCGTCGCCTGCAGTAGTGCAAATGACTCGTCCTGGCCGTGCCGTATTAGTCTGCCCAAGTGCCTCAACCAATGAGCTCGCAATATTTCCACTGGGCTGAGCTTCTTTGCCTTGGCTAAGACCTGCTGGTCCGTGTAGTGCTGGTCGCCCCCCCTCTTGACGACCGTACCCGTCGCAGCTAGATATGCCACCGTGACCATATTGTTAAACTTGGACGTTGTCTTCTTGTCCAGCGTTGGCCACGTTGCCGCGTTGTGCAGGGCGGCGCTCGTCAAAAGTGTGTCGGTGATTGCCGCTCTTGCTTCAGGTCAATGATAGGTTTGACCAAAAGCTGCTTTCGCATGCGTCTGATCTCGGATCTCGGAATGCACCCTCGTACGATAAGCTCTGGCAGGATCTGGATGCAGCTCAAATTCGTATGTTTCCGAACTGCGTGTGCTTTCACTTCCCCTTGCGTCTTGGTGTTCACGCTGATGGTACCCTGGTTGGCCAGCCAGAACTCGCGTCGTCCTTTCACCGCTACAGGTCCTCTGATCTGCAATGTTGCCGTGGTCTTGCCTGGCTCCATGTTAAGCTTCAGGCCGGCTTCGGTGAACACGTCGATGCGGATCCGTGTCAGGTTGGCCGTCTTGTCGGTGATCTGGCCAGCGGTACCAAGCACAGGGTACAAGCCGTCGTCGGCGTAGATGATCTCCGCGAGGTCGATATTCCCCTCGGCATTCGTAGTGCAGATCGTCCCCTCTCCAGACCGTCCAATCATGATTGCCATGTCCTCTTGGCGCAGGATGTGTTGTACGTTCTTGACACGCTCTGCATTAGAAAACCAAAAATTAGATCGCCATAAGAGTGTCCTTGTCGTTAACCACAGTCGGTGTGTGTAATGTCGCTACAATCAGCCGATGCGAACCAAGCATCAGGATGTGCCTCCGCGACCAGTGAGGCCAAATGCGGGCTGACACCTACGTCGTGCATGATGTCTGGCTGCTGAAGGTGTTCTGCGAGCCGAGTGCACGCTGTTGGTCCGAGCCCGAGTCGTTGCAGTAGCGTGGCGATGGCTTCGACGTTGGTGTCCAGATCCACGACAACTTGGCACAGGACGGTGTAGAAGGCACCGACGATGTCCATGAATACCTCTGCGATGATTAACTTTCGTACTGTGGCATGGTGATCCAAGAGCCTCGCGATATGCACTGCGAAGTCGGCCCTTCTGTGGTTGACGCCAGCATACTGCGCTGTCGGAGCATATGCTTCGCACTTCGGCAATAACTTCGAGCTGTATAAATTGTGGATGGCTTTGGAATTCGTGTCGCTGAGTAATATGTTCCTGACCGGCTTCGTGCTGTGTGGCGATTGTGCCCTGCTTGTGTAGCCTAAGGAGGGAACCACCTTTCCAGTGTAACGATTCAGCCAGCCGTAGCCCCATTATGATTGCCAGAGGGTCTTTGATCTGGGCGAACTTGGCTGGTGCTGCT